GGGAACCGGTCTGTATGTGGGATCCAAACCCTCGGCGGGAGCACCACCGCGCTCCCAAGCGGCGCACTGTAGCAGTGCGCCACCGGGCCGGCCCTGGAGTTTCCTCTTGACCTGGGGCACTCCAGGGTGGCCCATTGGCAGATTTGAGGGGCAGCTTCTTGACGTGTGACCTGCCGCCCAGTGGCAATTTCTGAAAGGTCTCAGGGTAACACAGTCTGTGGGGCTTGTGTTTAGTCACCAAGTGACTCCCTCGTAGTGGAGGGAGGGAGGGAGGGGTGTGTGTGTGTGTGTGTTTGTGGAGGGAGGGAGGGGTGTGTGTGTGTGTGTGTGTGTGTGTGTGTCCCTGTCCCTCCACCCAGAAGAGAGTGGGGTGGGTGGGGGTGGAGCAAGCCTTCAGGAAGTTCCTAAAAACCGAGTTCCCTGAAATCAGGGCCACTTGCTGCAGTTCTCTCTCAGCACTCTGCATGAAAGCCTGAGCCTGGTCTTATTTCTTGTATAAAGAGGGAGCATAAGTAATATCCAAATAAAATATTGGCTTATTGCCGGCCAGTGAGTGCTCAATACCTAATGCGTAATTGAAGCATGAATCACACACGTGTTCTAGTAGATGAGATAATACATGATGCCATGTAATATGATGTTTTTAAAAATCTGAAACACCAGTTTTGTTCTCAGACAACTTTTCAAACTGACTTCATTGAGGTATAATTTACATACAATAGAGTTTACACGTTTAGTATACATGTCAATGACTTTTGACAAATGCATACACTGAGTAAGGACCACCAAGTAAAGATACAGCACACTTCTATCCTTCCAGAAAGTTCTCTCCATGCCCCTTCCCAGCCACTAAATTCTATCACTGTAGATTAATTATGCCTGTTCTAGATTTTTGAGGAAATGATATCAAACAGTTTTCAATTTTTTGTGTCTGGCTTCTCTAGCATAGCATGTGTAAGAACATGTGAGGCTCTAACACACTTCTAGGTTCTATGGAATTTGGTTCCATGAAAAGGAATTTTTGTAAATGATTTATAGGTCTGGTAAAACGTAAAGCAATGCTGCTACTAGGAACCACAAAGTGCTTGTCAAGCATGCAGATTCCTGGCCGCACCTGAGACCTATTGAATACAAATCGCTGAGGGCGGAATCTAGGAATCTGAATTTTAAAATAATTCTACTAGAGTTTGAAAATTTGAGAATTTGAGTGTAGGCAGAGTGGATTGAAATGGGAGCACATGGCTCACCACTAGAGTCATCGTTTACTTCTGGAAACACGTTACTGGACCTTCTGGGACTCTGGAGTGGGACCCTCCACTTAAGAAAGAAGGCCAGCCACTCCAGGAGTCTGACTAAGGACTCTCAGACGACCGGAGGAGGTGTGTCCACTCCAGCCCAAGTGGGCAGTTGTGCTCTTCCATGGCACTGGTGACAATGGCCTCCCACTGCCTTGGCCTATGCAGGTGCCTTTGAGGGGAGGAGCTGCTAGGGTAGTGGCCTCAGCTCTTCCTTTGCCACCCAGGTGGAGGGTCTCGCTTGGCTGGGCCCAGGCTGGAGAGCATTTCTCAGTGGCTTTTGGGGGCCAGAAGTCAGATCTGTGTCTGTGGTCCACTGAACAGGAAGGTAGGTAGGTAAAGTCTTGGTTCGGTTCTGCCTCCCAGATCAGTCTCAGCCTTTAGAAGTTATCCCGAATTATGATGGAGTCAGATCTGTGTCTGTGGTCCACTGAACAGGAAGGTAGGTAGGTAAAGTCTTGGTTCGGTCCTGCCTCCCAGATCAGTCTCAGCCTTTAGAAGTTATCCCGAATTATGATGGTATTATTATTATTATTATTATTATTTTATTATTATATCATATTATGGTGGTTAATTTTATGTGTCAACTTGCCGGGGCACTGGTGCCCAGACATTTGGTCTGTGTCGGTGAGGGTGTTTCTGGATGAGATTAACATTTCAATCAGTAGATTGAGAAAAGCAGATTATTCTTCCTAATGTTGGTGGGTTTCATCCAATCGGTTGAAGACTTGAATGGAACAGAAAGGCTGAGTAAGACTGAACTCCTCCTCCCTGACTGCTTGTTTTTTTTTTTTTTTCCTTTTTGTCTTTTTTACTGACCGGTAATGGGATCGCAACCCTCGGTGTCGCGCCCGCACCGGGGACCGGCAACAGGACCGCAACCCTCGGTGTTGCGCCCGCACCGTGCTCAGCCAGTGAGTGGGAACCGGTCTCCACATGGGATCCGAACCCTCGGCGGGAGCGCCGCCGCACTCCCAAGCAGCGCACTCTCCAGTGCGCCACCGGGCTGGCCCCTCCTTGACTGCTTGAGCTGGAACGTTGGTATTTAAGCCTTCAGACCCGTACTGGTACAATGGCTCTTCCTGGGTCTCGAGCCTGCTGGC